TCAGAGGACAAGGAGCAAATTAGCAGACTCCAAACCAGAATCCACGGAATCTTCCATTTCCTTCCCCACTTTTCAGGTCTTTTCATTTTCTTCAAGAAAACCCCCTCCGCCTTTTCTCTTGCTCTCTCTCCTCATGTCTCCTTTTCTTGCTCCTCCCTTTTATCCCGTTAATGAGCCTTAAAAGCTCTTATCGTAGCTGAAAAATTGTTGGTGGAACTATATATACTGTGATAAGAAAACTGCTTAATTTTACGAGGGAAATTACAGGTAAGAAAAAACATACTGGAAGGATCTGTGCCTCTGAAAGATCTTGAACTTAGCCAGAATTTCCTTCAGAAAATAAAAGTCTACCTCAGCATCTTCCAACTCATCTTTCTTTTCCACTAAAACCAGCCTTGAAGTTGATTATAAAAGAATTTGTTCTTAACTTTGCTTTTCAGTTTTAATTATTAGTGCTGTGACAAGATTATCTGTGTGTGTCTGTGTGTGTAGACTAGTTAAAACATGAAAAAGTAGACAGAATGGTCTGCTGGCCCCACATGTGTCCAACATCAAGCTAGTGATGATGACACACACTGTTTCCATCCTGTTTCACTGTGTATCTCTAGAAGGCGGGATCTGCTCTTCTCGTAACATTCTCATACCATTATCACACTAAAAATGCCAGTGATCCCTTCATAGCAAAGATCCAGCCAGTGTTCACATTTCTGTGTGTGCTTATTTTTAACCACAAAAGTGACTGCTGTCAACCGTAGGGTTTTTGTGGACGGGACTAGTGGCCACACGACTTTGTGCCTGGGTTCTCTGAGAACATGTGTTTGGTGAGCCAGCATTTGGCCCACAGGGGCCATAGGTGTGAAGTGTGTGGCAGGCAGTACTTGTTTTGTTGTGGTTGCCAATGGGTGCTGGTATGAGTGTATAATCTCAGTGGGATGCTGTAAATAAATAACTAATTGGCAGTTCTCTGCTCCCAGACTGTCCCTCTGCCCGCCCTTCTTATTCCCCAGGGGCTGTGCTGTCCCTACCGGTGAGTGACTGTTGAGTGCTGAAAATGTCTCAAGTGAGATGTGCTGAAAGTGTAAAATATGCTGGGTTGCAAAGGCTTAGTATGAAAAAAAAAGTAAAATATCTCGTTAATGCTTTTTATGTTGATTACATCTTGACATGATAATTTGGATATATTAGATTCAATAAAGCATTAACACCTAATTTCACCTGTTTCTTTTTGTTAATTGGGATAAAATTTACACAACATAAAACTCACCATTTTAACCATTTTAAAGTGTGTCATTCAGTGGGTTTTGGTATATTTACGATGTTCTGCAACCATCACCACTACCTAATTCCAGAACGTTTTATTACGCCAAAAAGAAACACATACCTGTTAAGCAGTCACTCCCCGTTTCCCGCTCCCACCGGTCCCTGACAACCACTAATTTACTTTCTAGATTTGCCTGGTCTGGGCATGCATTTGTGGAATCACACATTTTGTGGCCTTTTGTCTCTGGCTTCTCTCACTTAGCGTAGTGTTTTCAGGGTCCATCCATGTTGCAGCGTGTCAGTGCTCCAGTCCTTTTTATGGCTGAATAGTCGTCCGTTATATGGATATACCACCTTTTGCTTATCCCTTCATCACTTGATGGACATTGAGTTGTTTCCACTTTCTGACTGTTATGAACAATTCTTGCTGTGAACATGTGCGGACAGGTTTTTGTGTGGACGTATGTTTTCATTTCTCTTGGATCTATGTGTAGAATTACTGGGTTGTGTGATAACTCTAATTTTTTGAGGAACTGCCAAATTGTTTCCCACAGCGACTCCACCATTTTACATTCTCGTCAGCTGTGGTGACGGCTCCAGTTTCGCTCCAGTTTCTCCACATCCTTGTCGATACTTACTTTGCTTTTTTGGTTTTTTTACTTGTCGCCTTTTGCGTGGGAAGCAGTATCTTCACATTTTGATTTGCATTTCTCTAGTGACTAATGATGTTGAGCATCTTTCATATACTTACTGGCCACTGTGTATCTTCTTTGGGGAAATGTCTATTCAAATCCTTGCCCAACCTGTTTGTTCTTACTGAATGTGAGAACTGAAAATTTTTAACTTTCCATTTATGACTGACGTTGTATTTCTGTTGGATGGCACTGCTCTGGGAGGTTTTGAAGTTGGTGAGGGGTAAAAAGAAGACAAACGACTACTTCCTCTTCCACTCATGCTTAATGTCATTCGCAGGTCCCTAAGATTAAGATTTTCATTTAAGGTTCATCTCCCTGAGGCACTGACAGGAATGTCATTGCAAAGAAGTTCCCCAGGTGCCTGATTGCTGGTGGGTTGACAAGGTTAGAGAGTTGGAGGGTCCTCTTGAGCGAGGCTTAAAGGTGGAACCCCACCTTCACAGCAGGTTGATTATTTTAATGAGCCAAACGAATACAGCAGCAAAGGCTGCCTTCTCTTCTTAATGGGATCAGCGTCACACTTCCAGTGAGCTCTTAAAACATTAGTATTTTTAAAATTTAGTCATTCACATCTTATTGAGCTTTCAGAACATGATAATTTGTTGTAGATTTACTGCTTTGAAAATTTCCATGAAACATTGAGCTTATTTTTCTAGGAATCTAATGTAGAAATAGTTGGATCGAATATACTTGTTTCCCAGATAGAATGGTCACAGTAAGTTTGTCCGTGGGTGATGCACCGAGTCCTCTGAGTTTAGTTTCCAGGTAAAGTCTGGTGGCACCTACAGCCTCCCTGTCTCCCGTGAGCGTTCCCAGGGGACACTTCACGCACACCAGCAAGTACAGCTGCCCGCGATGTGAACAGCAGCTGGGCTGTTAGAGTAGAATATATAATTCATTTGAAAGTAATTTTGTCTAATGCAGGTGTTTTCTTTTCTTTGTACTGAACCCAAAAAGAAGGTAGAAGCATTTTCATAGTTTTCCTGGAAATGAGTCAACAAGATTTTCAATAAATATAGAACTGCATATAAAAGATCTCGCTGGCATTTTGCAATCCTTTTCTCCTTTTCTTAAGTGGAGACTGTAATTTTCCATGCATAAGTAAGTAGGTGGGGGAAGATAACTAGAATATATTTTCTTTGGAAGAGTGAAGTCACATGGGCGACAGAAGTATCTTCAAATATTGCAGCCTGCAGCAGTTCCTAAACATTCTTAAACCCTCAGATAGTTGCAGACTCCAGTATGGGTTTTTTTGGGCTCAGGCTGAGGGGAATGCGTGAAGGGACTGGTCACATCGCCATAATTTTTGTAGAAATGACTTACCTGAGAGAGAGCAGCTTTCGAGATGACTAGCGCATAATCGTTTCCCTGTTCCTGCCCTTTTTCTGTTTTCTTTCAGCACTGTTGTTCAGCGGGAAGGTGGTTTTGATACTTACGTGAGGTGGAAGTCTCAGTGTACAACTCAGTCGTGATAAATATGTTCACCTTGTTGTGCAGCAAAACTTTTTCATCTTGCAAGAGGGAAATCTATACCCGTTAAATGCTAATGCCCTTTCCCCCAGCCCATGGGAATCACCTTTCTACTTTGTTTCTATTATTTTGATTGCTTTAAACAATTCATGTGAGTGGAATCGTACATTATTTCTCCTTTTGTGTCTGGCTTGATTTGCTTGGCATAATGTCCTCAGAGTTCATCCATGTTGTGGCATGTGACACTCCTCTTTTTTAAAGGCTGCATAATATTCCATTGTGTGTATGTACCAGTTGTCGTTCTCCATTTGTCTGTTGAGGGACACTGGGTTGCCTCCAGCTCTTGGCTGTTGTGAGTGCTGCTGCCGTGAACGTGGGGGTGCAGGTATCTCTTCCAGAGCTTGCTTTGAGTTCTTTGGATGTATACCTGGAAGTGGGACTGCTGGCTCTTAGGCTAATCTTCTGTCTTTTTCATTGAACCTGTGCAGGCCTTTTCTGAGAGGAGCAGGAGCTGGGAGCTGAGTCCTCCTGTCACTTCTGGTTCTGTTTGCGCCCTGCCCATGTCGAGCATCTAGAAACACTCCTCTTGATACTCTCTCCCTGAGAGATTAATTATACAGATATTACTACTGTCACTTCTTCCTTGTTGTGCCAGGAAATGTTGTGTGTCCTCAGATCTCCCAAAATAAGCACCAGATTCATTTGGCCAGCTTTCGTTTTTGGGAGCACACTCCTGTATTCACTCCTGGCTCTGTCCAGGCCAAAGAGAGTGAGGGCTGGACAGAGAGGGCACAGGGAGACCACAGAGGCGCAGAAGAGCGAGGTGGTGTGGCTGTCGTCGTACACCATGTGCTACCCTCGGACGTTCACCATTCTCGCCCTCTCTTTGTCAGGGTTTACTTGGGTTTAGCACTGGCTGTGTCTGCTAAGCTGGCATCCTGCTTGGGGTCCCCTCCCAGTTTGGAAGTCGTGCCGAGGAGCTCGCAGTCTGGAAGGAGCCACCGGGCTCGGGTCCTGTAGCTGTTAAGAGAGCCACGTGCCCTTGAGCCTGTGCCTCCGTTTCCTGTCCCATAAAGTGGGTAGCCCTGCCGCCCGTGCCCCTGCAGTGAGGAGTGAACACGGCGTAGACGTGGAGTGCTCGCCAGGGACGCGGCCTGTACAGGCCGCTTGTCACGCTGGATGCCACACTCACACTTGTTCCTTTTTTTCTTTGTCTTCTTGAGCCCTGTGTTGCTTCTTCCCTCCTCCATTGTCAGCTTTCCCCGACCTGCCTTGCCCCAGGGGCCATGACTGCGGGCAGGAGAGGACGGGAGCGCAGACAGCTGCCTGGCGGTGCGCCCTGCGCCCGGCCCTTCCTTCTGCTGGCCGCCTGGGCTCAGGCGGCGCTGTGTCCCGGGCTGCGCAGAGGGCCGAGGGGTCCGTGGTGGAGGAGGAGTGCGTCCAGAGCTGGGGCAGCCCCGGCCCCCTGCCCTGCTGGGCCACGTGGCTCAGCGCTGCCCCGGGAGCCCCCGCAGCTGCTGGGCGTGTCCCGGGCCTGCGCGTGCGCTGCGGCTCCATCTGTGTGTCTTCCTGCAGGCGGTGCTGGTGAACAACATCACGGCGGGCGAGAGGCTCATCAGGACGCTGCAAGGTGAGTCCGCCTCTGCTCCGTGCCGCGCCTTCTTTCCCCTTCAAAAAGGACATTTAAAGAGCCGTCTAGCAAAGAGTCAGGGTGCAGGCTCCTGCAGGGCCCTGGTCTTCCTTCCAGGGCCACTACCAAGGCCAACGTAGTGATGACTGCCCGTGTTCTGCCCTCTCCCTCCCTCCCCACCCCCATGTCCCGCCGCCCATCGTGTTCTTGTCTGTGGGTTTTGATGGTCTGCCCTGTCATGATGGTGTGCCAGTGACATGTGCGATCTCGTGCCCCCCTCTCGGCACAGACCAGCTAAAGGCCCTGCAGAAGAATTACGGCAGACTGCAGCAGGATGTCCTCCAGTTCCAGAAGAACCAGACCAACCTGGAGAGGAAGTTCTCCTACGACCTGTAAGTGCGTGCCCCTCGGGGGCTGACCTGTTCTAAACGGAGGGCGGCAGGCAGGGTCCAGCCTCCGCTCCCCGGCCCTTCCAGTATGGAGCATGCAGGGCCCTGCGGGAAAGCCTCGGTCCCTTCTACAAGTCGTGTCCTTCATGCATTTTACGTTTGAAGTGTCAGCAGTGCTTCAGAAAGCTGTGGAAAAGTTCACCAGTGGGCTCACCATAGACAGTAATAAGAGGGCAGTCCCTTAGTAGGAATGATTTGCTCCGCATGCTTTAAAACTTAACAGAGTTTAAAAGTCCGTAAAGCATAGGTGTATTGGTTAAGTCGATAATCTAAAGCCTTTAAAAATGTCTTCCAGAAGTGCTCAGATGTGACCCAAGTCCAACTCACAGAGTAGAAGGCATTCTGGCGTAATATTGGTCTGATTTATCACTGGCTGTTGGCATTGTGGGCGTTTTGTTTTTTTGAGACTCTTAAGGTCTTTCCAAATTTCTGCGGTGAGAATGGAGTACTTTTATTTTTTCAGCTTTATTGAGGTGTGATTGACAAATAATCATTGTGTGTATTTAAGTGTAAAATATGACGATTTGGTATAACTATACATCGTGAAATGATGCCTCCAGTCAAGCGAATTAAGTGTCCGTAATCTCAGCGATTTCCCTTTTTGTATCTGTGGCGGGAGCCCAGGTGTGGTGCTGTGAGTGGTCACCTGCTGCACATTAGGCCTCCTGCTCGCAGTTGTGACAGTCTGTTTCCAGCTGATGACTTCAGTTACATGTGAAAGTTCTACACTTTCACTTCTTGGAGTACTTTTATGATCAAAAGAGAACAGTAAGCTTTAAAAAAGTTACCTTAACCCATTCGTGAGAGAATAAAAACCAATTTAGAGGGTGGAGAATGAAGTTGTAGTCTGTGTATCTTTTCTCCTTTTTTTCCTCATAAAAACAGTATAACTCAAGCACAGGAAGTTTGGGATTTGGGGACAACTAGCCGCCCGTGACCCCAGCCCTCTTTTCCCTGTGACTGACTTCTCTCTAGTCTGTGTCCAAGTGCGTATGAATTTTTTACATAATTGCAGTCGCCATTAAAATTTTTAAATCATTTTTTCACTTGCATTATGTATATATAAAAATCCATATTGCTCCAAAATGTTTTATCGTAAAAAATGGCTGGTTAATATTCCATAATGTATAGGTACCACATTTAATTTACTGTTTCCCTGTTTGTTGGATATTTAGGTTACTTCTAAATTTCAGTTATTATAACTTGCCTGACATCAGTGCATATAACTTTTAAAAATTATCGTTTTGGATTATTTCCTTCTAAAAAAGACTCACCTGTAGGGTTAGTGTGCCACTTGGTATCCATTGCCAAATTGCCCTCTGGAAGGTCACCAGCAATGCAGGAGAGTAAGCTTCCTTACGCCCGTTGCCCTTGTAGGGATTCTGATGTTCCTTCTAAAGATTGTCCGCTCACCGTGATATCTTCCTGATTACTTTAAGATCAACTTTGTAAATACAGAAAGGACATGCGCAAACAGTCAAAGCAAGGGAAACACAATGAGAAAATATGCGCGTGGAACCTTGTTCAGCCAGCCCATCGGTTCTCCATGGGTGGCAGTTTTGCCCCCAGGAGACCTTTGGCAACGTCTAGAGAAGTTTTTGGTTATCACAGCTCGGGAGAGGGTGCTACCAGCTTCTAGTGTGCCAAGAACAGGGCTGCCGCTCAGAACCTACAGTGCACAGGGCTGCTCCCACAGCAGAGTTCTACCTGCCCAGACGCCGGGAGTGCCAGGTAAGAAACCCTGAGCTAGGCTGGTAACCACCGAAAAGCAATCAGATGAAAAGGAAGTGCCCCAGTCTTACTCATCTTTGAAGGATGCCTTAGCACACGCGTTTCCCTTCCAGTGATTGGAATACAATAAGCCATCAATGGCCTCCCTTGATAAATGCTGACGCAGAAGATTTTGACCTAGCTGGAAGTCAGCCAGGGCCCAGTGACAGGGCATGCAGCTCGGCTCCCCGTGTAGGAGCGTTCAGACAGGTAGTGAGCAGAACGTTCTAACCTGGGTTGGCTTTTGCGGGCCACATTCTTCCCTTAGGAGGGTGATAGCTGGGTTGGAAACTCTTGCTAGCTGACCACATCTGTTTCACTAGTTGTCCCTTGTACCACCATATGCTGGATGCTTCCAGGGATGATGTTCATGGAATGTTGAAAACTGGAAAGAGTTCGTTTTTCTTAACTTTCTTTGGATTATAGACGCTTTTTGAGAATCCGATAAAATGTATGGACACCTTGTTAGCAAATTTCTAAATGGATATATACACAAAGTTGTGTGTTCAATTTGTGGGACCTCGGAAGCATACCTGCACGCCGTCTGTTAAAACCCCCTTTCTGGTCTAATCCTTTTACAGAGGGCAGTGCTGAGAATGAAAAAGCTGACAGGCTAGATTTCCTGATGCGTAAGTTAGTGTTCTTTCTCCAGTATCAGAGTCAGCACTTGTCCCCTCTTCTTATTCCTACACCTGTGGCACACATCACTAAGTGATCACTGTACGTGAACCAAACACAACCTTGCAGTCTCTCCCCAAAGCGCTCAGAGGAGGTGTATCAGATGGACTGCCTGCCGTCTCATCTCCATGCCAGGAGGAAACAGTTTGTGGATGCTCTTCCCGGACTGTAGCTAGTCATACTCTGAAGATAGCGCCCTGGACGGTCGGCTCCCCTGCCTTGGTCGATTGCTGGATTGAGCACATTCCGTTCATAGTACTCTGATTGTCAGTTGCACCAGTTAGAATAGTCGCTGGTGCCCAGTCCTGTATGTCCTACATTTTAGCTCCAGTTGATGCCTGAATATTTGCCATGTGCATGTGGGAAGAAGCCAGCCTGAGGCTCAGGAAGTAACAGTGTCGCCATCTGCTGATCTGTGTCTGAGAATTTGAGCTTCGTTCTGAGGTGGTTCCTCTTGCTGCTGTCGAGCTCGGGTGTGGACAGCCAGCCTTCATCTGGAGGCTCGGAGAGAGGCTCCTTGTTCTAGATTTTGGCCGGGCTGAGAGTGGGTGGAAACAGCATTTCCCGTTCGTAGGTTTAAAGGCTCAGGAACGCCGTGCCCCTGCTCACTTGCCATCCCGAGCTTCTGCGACATTGCTCAGTAGTGAAGAATCGGACATGGTTAGTTCTTTCAGGATACTGACATCTCTCTGTCGTTCGCTGTATTTAAGCTGCTTTGCACCAGTCTACTGCCTGGGGCTGGCATGTTTGTGAGAATTTTATTTACATGAATTTTTCACCAAGTCTTCTCCCGATGTGTAAGCTGTCCATGGCCAGGAAGCCTGTCTTTCGTTATTTCCACAATACTCGATGCCCCTGTATGTGTGGGACGATGAGACCCAGTCAGTCCTCTGACCAGAAGGCTGTGTCCCAGGGGTGGAGGCTGAGTGCCCTGACACTTGCTCTGAAATGCCTGCGTGTGAAGGAGACACGGCACAGTCAGGAGCCGACGTGTGGCTCTGGTGTCCGCCTTAGCGCTTTCTGTCGGTGTCAGACAGTCAGCTCACCGCCTGGCTTCCTTACCTGTACAGGCAGGGAGTTCTCTCAGTTTCTTCGAAGCTCTGACATTTAAGGTACGCTTAAAATAAATTCCAGGCAGAGAGCTGAAGCGATGCCTCCGAATGTCTCAGCTCGTTGGGAGCTCGGGCTGATTAGATTGTACGCGCCAACCGTAATTCTCTGACGCCAACCGGGTGTCCTCCAGTTCGTTTCAATTTAGTTTTATTTATTTTTTAAAAATAATTTTACATTCTTTTTTTTTTTTTTAAGATTTTTTTTTCCCTTTTTCTCCCCAAAGCTCCCCAGTACATAGTTGTGTATTCTTCGTTGTGGGTCCTTCTAGTTGTGGCATGTGGGATGCTGCCTCAGCGTGGTTTAATGAGCAGTGCCATGTCCGCGCCCAGGATTCAAACCAGCAAAACACTGGGCCGCCTGCAGCGGAGCATGCGAACTTAACCACTCGGCCACGGGACCAGCCCCAAATTTTAAATTCTTGAAGAGTTTAGATTCACAGAATTATTGAGAAGAGAATACAGAGTTCCTGTATACCCCACACCCAGTTTTCCCTATTGTTAACACTTTAGGATAGTATGTTTGTCACGATTAATTAACCAGTATAGATTCATTATTAACTGAAGTTCATGCTTGATTCAGACATCCTCAGATTTATTCCGGTTCTCCCTGATGTCCTTTTTCTGTTCCAGGATATACATGACATTTAGTTGTCCTGTTTCCTGAGGCTCCTCCTGGCTGTGACAGTTTCCCAGACTCTCTTTTTTATGATCTTGACAGTTTTGAGGAGTACTGGTCGGTGTTTTGTGGAATGTCCTTCAGTCGTCATATATCCGGTGTTTTTCTAGTCGCTCCTCTGGGGCGGCATTTCTGGGAGGAAGGCTGCGGAGTGGAAGCACGGTTCCCATCCCTTCCCGTAAGGAGGGCTTGTCACTGTGACGACGTTCAGCTGGTCCCCTGCTGGAGGCGTGTTGGTCAGGTTTCCGCAGGAGGAGGTTACTCTGCTTTCTCCCTCTGCTCTGTCATCTTTGGAAGGAAGTCCCTGTGGGAGCCTGCACGTAGAGACGGCGCAGGTTTATGCTCCGCTTCCTTAGGGTGGGGTATCTGTATACATTGGAATTTTCCTGCACGGGAGATTTGACTCTTCTTATCTATCAGGCTACTTATTTGTTTATGTCAGGATGGACTCATGGATATTTATTTTAGACTTTGGGTTATAATCCAATTTTTATTTTTTTCCTCAAATTGCTCCAGCTTTGGCCTTTGGGAGCTGCTTCAACTGACTCCCTTATCCAGTCGACATATCCCAGTATTGTGCCCCTCCCCCACCTTTTTTATAGCACTTTCTTACACTCTGGCACCAGAAGACGCTTCAGACTTATATATTTCCTGTCCCAGTCCTGGAATCAACCAATCCACCATTTCTCTAGGGAGCTCTGGTTCTTTTTATTAAGAATGGTATTAGAAACCAAGATCGTGGCACAAGGCGTCTTGTTGCTCCCAGGGTGTCATTGCTGCTAGGCCTTCTCAGATGACAGAGCAAAGAGATACGTGTGTGTGTATCTGTATCTAGATTAAGTTAAGCATGAATTCATACTGCTGTCTCCAACTCTAATCCATTTAAATTAATGTAGTATGTAATTGGATATGTTCTCAACTTGGGACATGATTCAGTTACTTTATCAATGTTTTGTGGCTCAAAACGTTTTTGAAACTGCCTGTGGCAAAGACTGGTCAGTGCTTATCCAAATCTATTCATCTTTTTTTCCCAGCAAGAATACTACATTTCTAATCCTTCCTTGCAGTTAGGTATGGCCAGTTGACTAAGGTCTGGCCAGTGGGGAAAGGAAATTGTGGGGTGGGACTTGTAGGAAGGCCTCTGAAAATGAGGACAGGCCACTGCACACCCCTTCCCTCCTCCTTCCTTCCTGCTGCCCAGAACTCAGACAAGATGGCTGGACCACTAGCAGCCATCCTGGATCATGAGGTAATCGTAAGGATAGAAACCAGTGCTAGGATATTGAGACAGAAAGAGAAGCCTGGAGTTTCGGTGACTCAGAGCTGCCATATGGGCCTTGGATGACCTACATCCAGAGCTCTTTTATGTGTGGAAAAGGTAAACTGCTATCTTAGGGCCTGTGTGCTTCATGCAGCCAAACCTGATGCTGACTTATCCACTTTTTGAAAGTGCCTTTCGATATTCTCAACCAAACTGTATCATTTTGATGAGTGCCTGTCTTTGACCCAGAGTAAGACTTCTTAGGAAAGGCCGTTTAGAAGTGAGTCTTACAGAATGGGGAGTAGAGAAGGGGGATTAGGGCTTGTTCTAGAAAAGAAAGAGAATCTGGGGAGCTCAGCGTGATCCGGGCAGGGCAGAGAGTTTATATTGTCATGGGAGGGAGTGAATAAGACTAGTATCTTGAAGACGGGCACGAAAGTGATCAGCTACGCGGGCCTTGCTGGGGAAGTTTTCTTCTCCTTCTCCCCAGATTCTGATGACACGAAATCAGGCCGTCTGTTAGAGTCACACGTCCCTGCAGCTCTGCTCTTTTTTCCCCCCAGTCTGTTTCCTTTTGTGTTCAGATTGGATAATACCTGTTGTTCTGTCTTCCAGTTGAGTGATTCTCCTCCAGAGTTTTTTTATTTTTGTTATTGCATTTTTCAGTTCTGAAATTTCCATTTGGTTCTTATTTGTATGTTTTATTTGTTTGCTAAGGCTTTTTATTTCTTTGCTGAGACTATGTATTTTTTCATTTCTTTCAAGCAAGTTGTAATTGTTCATTAAAACATTTTTCTGGTGGCTGCTTTAAAATCTTCGTCAGATCATTTCAGTTGCTCTCTCCTGTCAGTGTTGGGATCTGTTGATTCTCTCTTTTCATCCCATTCTTGATGTGTTGCGTGATTTTTGGTTGAAACCTCTGGGCAGGCGTGGAGCCCTGACTCCTCCCTGACGTCCTCTGACACCACCCCATGGGGAGGCAGAGGGCCTCATTACGTGGAAATGCAGGCTTCCTACGGATTCTGCAGTGACACTGCTGGGTGTCCTTCAGATCCTGAGGTCCCGAGTCAGTCTGCCTCCTTCTCTCCACCTTTCAGAGTTTTCTTATGTTTGTTTTAAATATAATGTTCAGAGTTTTTAGTTGTGCTTAGTGGGAGGAATAGGAAAAATGCATATGTTCCATCTTCCTGGAAGTGGAAGTCCAGTTCAGTTTTGACACTCCTCAGAGTTAGCACAAAGTCCACAGATTAAGGGGCTCAGTCCCACAAGACTGCCCCCACTTCAGACACCAGCCACAAGTTCCGGGTGTCCCCAGGCCACCTGTCCTTTTGCCTGGCTAGCTCCAAATTCAAGGCTTCCCACAACACCCTCAGATTCAAGAATTCTCTAGAAGAACTCACAGAACTCAGGAAAGTTCCGTACTTAAAATTACAGTTTTAGTATAAAGGGTAGAACTCAGGAGCAGCTAAGTGGTCGAGACTTATAAGGCAGGGTCTGGGGTGAGGGGAAGCAGGAGCTTCTGTTGGATTGGGGGGCCACCTTTCTGGTATGTAGACACGTTCATCGACCAGGAAGCTTGCCAAGCCTGGTGGTCCAGAGTTTGTGTCTAAGGGTCTATGGGCATGGTTGATTACGTCGTTGGCCACGAGACGGAACTCAGTCTCCAGTCCCTTCCTCTCCCTGGAGGACAGGGCGGGGCTGAAAGTTCCTGTCCTCTGGTGCTGTGGCCTGTTCCTCTGACCAGCAGCCTCCATCCTGAGTCAGCTCATTAGCATGAACGCAGGTGTGGTCCACAGGGGCTGCTTATGAAGAACTGAAGACGCTCCTATTGCTCAGGAAATTCCAGGGATTTTAGGAGCTCTGTGCTAATAGTTGGGGACAAAGACCAAATTTTTTATTATATCAGATTATATTTAAAAAATTGTTTTTTCTAACTAGTAAAGTTCACTTATTTTAGAACAATGTGACATTTTTAGTAAGTTCAGTCAACTACAGTTTTCTTGTCATTTAATAACTGAAAACACACATGTAGCTTTGTGTTTTTGGGTGAAAGAAATGTGCTGGGTCTCCTTTTGAAGTGGGTTCAGAGTCACAGCAGGGACGTGCTGGGTGTACAGACATATCCCTAAATATTTGTCCTTTCTTTTGCATTCTTTTACCGAAGGAGCCAGTGCATCAATCAGATGAAAGAGGTGAAGGAGCAGTGTGAGGAGCGAATAGAAGAAGTCACCAAAAAGGGAAATGAAGCTGTCGCTTCCAGGGACCTGAGTGAAAAAAAGGACCCAAACCAGCAGGTAATTCTCGTGTTTTTCTGCCAGGGACTTCCAGAAGGTATTCCTGCCCTCTCTTCAGGCATCTTCTTCCCTTGCCCACTGTCTGATTTGCTCTGATCTCTGCTCTTCCTTGTGAGTTTGGTTCCCTGAGACACAGCAGCCGGTCCCCAGATGCCGGGACTCTGACCGAGTGCACTGGCCTGCAGTCCCAGCCCCACGCTCAGGGCTTACAGGGGTCACCTCACTTAAAGCTCATGGCCGTCCTGGGAGAGACTTGCTATTGCTTTCTTGTTTTGAGGACACTCAGTCCCAAGGAGATGGTTACATCCTGTGGCCACCGTGGTCACCTGGTCACTGATGGGGCTGATCAGTGCTGTGCTGTCAGCCTGCCGTGCAGAGCACAGCCTTCTGGGAAAACTTTGTGTTAAATATAGCAGCTTTATTGAGATGTAATTCATAGACCATACAATCGCCCGTATCATACTTACAGTTCTAGTATATTCATAAAGTTATGTGACCATCATTACAGTCAATTTTAGAACGTTTCATTACCCCAAAAGAAGCCCTGTACCCAATAGCTCACTCCCCACGTACCCCTAGTCCCCAGAGCCCTCGACAGCCACGAATCTACTTTCTGTCTCTATGGATTTGCCTTATCTGGACATTTCCTATCAGTGGAATCAGACGGTATGTGGTCTTTTGTGTCTGATGTCTTTCGCTTAGTATAATGCTTTCAAGGTTGATCCATGTTGTAGCATGTATCAGTACTCCATCCCTTTTTATGGCTGAATAATATTCCATTGTATGGATATACCACATTTTGTTTATTCATTTGGCAGCTGATGGGGATTTGGGTTATTTCCATTTTTTGGCTACTATGAATAATGCTGCTATGAACATTTATGTATGTGTTTTTGTGTGAACGGAATTTTTCATTTCTCTTAGGCATATACCTAAAAGTGGAATTATTGGGTCATATGGTACCTCTATGTTTAATGTATTGAAAACCTGCCAGGCTATTTTCAGAAAGTGATCATACCATTTCCCATTTCCACCAGCAGTTTATGAGGGTTCCAGTTTCGCCACATTCTTAGTGGCTCTTGTTATCATCTGTCTTTTTCACTGTAGCCATCCTACTGGGTGTGGAGTGGTTTGGATTTGCATTTTCCTAGTAACTAATGATGTTGAGCATCTTTTCATATGCTTTATTGGCCATTTGGATATCTTCTTTGGAGAGGTGTCTGTTCAAATCTGCCCATTTTTAAATTGAGTTATTTTTATTATTGCATTGTGAGAGTTCTTTATATATTCATAGATATATAAAGATATTGAATACATGATTTACGAATACTTTTTCCCATTCTGAGAGTTCTTTTTTCACTTTCTCGATGGTGTTTATTAAAGCACAAAAGTTTTAGATGACGTCTAGTTTATCTGTTTTTTTCTTTTGTTGCTTGTTCTTTTGGTGTCATATCTAAAAACACTTTGCCTAATCCAAGGTCATGAAGATTTACTCCTGTATTTTCTTTTGAGAGTTTTATAGTTCTTAGCATTTAGTTCTTACACTTAGTCCTTTGATCCGTTTTGAGTTAATTTAATTTTTTGTATATGGTATGAGCTAAGTGTCCAACTTCATTCTTTTGCATGTGGATATCCGGTTGTCTTAGCACTGTTTGTTGAAAAAAGCCCTCTTCTTTCCCCAACTGAATTGTCTCGGCAGCCTTGTCAAAATCCGTTCACTGTAAATAAGAAGCTTTATTTCTGGACTCTCAATTCTATTCCATTGACCTCTTTGTCCTTGTGTCACTACCACACAGCCTTGATTACTGTAGCTTTGTAGTAAACCTTGAAATCTGGAAGTGTGGTTCCTCCAGCTTTCTTCTTCTTTCTCAAGGTTATTTTGTCTAGTGTGCACTGGTTGGCTTCCCATATGAACTTTAGGATCTGCTTGCCAGTTTCTCAGCAAAGCAAGGCAGGATTCTGACAGAGGCTGCCTTGGCTCTGTAGGTCACTGGCGAGTATTGCCATCTTAGCAATATCAAGTCTCCCGATGTGCGAATGTAGGATGTCTTTCCACTTCCTTAAGTCCTTTGAAAATCTCTTTCAACAATGTTTTATAGTTTTCAGAAGTCTTGCACTTCTTTTGTTCAAATTATTTCTAAGTATTTTTTGTTGCTAGTATAAATGGAATTGTTTTCTTAATTTCATTTTCAAATTGTTTATTGCTAGTGTATAGAAATATAGTTCATTTTTTGTATTGGTCTTGTATCTTGCAGCCTTGCTGAGTTTGTTTATTCTAATCGTATTTTTTGTGATTCCTTAGGATTTTCTGTATACAAGATCATGTCATCTAAAATAGGAAAAGGAAGATAGTTTCACATCTTCCTTTCCAATCTGGATTCTTTTGTTTCTTCTTATTGCCTCTTAGTCCTGGCTAGGATCTCTAGTACGGTGTTAAATTGAAGTGGTAAGAGCAGACATCCTTGACTTGTTCTTGATCATAGGGGAAAGCACTAAGTCTGTCACCATTATGCTTGATGTCAGCTGTATGTTTTTCATGCCCGTTACCAAGTTGAGGAAATGCCCCTCTATTCTTAATTTGTTGAGCGTTTTTATCAAGAAGAGGTGTTTTGGATTTTGCCAAATTTTTTTCTGCATGTGTTGAGATGATCATGTGTTTTTTTGTCCTTTATGCTCTTGATATGTATTACATTAATTGATTTTTAGATGTTAAACTAACCTTGCATTCCTGGGATAAATCCCACTGGGCCATGGTGTATAACCCTTTCATATGTTGCTGGATTTGATTGTTAGTATTTTGTTGATGATTTTGGTGTCTATATTCATAAGAGATATTGGTTTTTTCCTGAGTCTTTGTCTGGCTTTGATACTAGGGTGATTACTGGTCTCATAGGATGAGTTGGGGGTACGCCTTCCTCTTCTGTTTTTGGAATAGTTGTGAAGATTTAGTATTGATTCTTTAAATGTGTGGTAGAATTCACTAGTGAAGCCTTTGGGCCTGGACTTTTTTTGGGGGAAAGTTTTAAATGACCAATTCAGTCTCTTGTTATAAGTCTACTCAGATTTTCTTCTTCTTGAGTCAGTTGTGGTAGTTTGTGTCTTTCTAAGAACTCATCTATTTCATCTGTTATCAAACTTGTTGGCAAAAGTTGTTCAGAGTATTCCCTTTTTTATTTGTGTAAAGTTGGTAGTGTTGTCCCCTTTCGTTTTCTATTTTAGTGATTTGAGTCTTCTCTCTTTCTTTTCTTGATCTAACTAAAGTTTTGTCAATTCTCTTCATCTTTTCAGAGAATTAACTTTTGGTTTCATTGGTTTTCTCTGTTGTTTTTCTGTTCCATATTTCATTAATTCCTACTCTAATATCTATTTTGTCCTTCCTTGCTTTAGGTTCAGTTCACCCTTCTTTTTCTGGCATCGTAAGGTGGAAGATTAGGTTATTAATTTGAGATCTGTCTCTTTTCTTAATATACGCCTGTAAGTTTCCCTTTAAGCACTGCCTTAGCTGCCTCCTGTAAGTTTGGTATGTTGTGTTTTTGTTTTGATTTTTCTCAAGGTACTTTCTAATTTTCCTTGTGATTTCTTTGACACATTGTTTATTTAGGAGCATATTGTCTAATTTCCACATATTTGGGAATTTCTCAGATTTCATTGTTATTGTTTTGTAGTGTCATTCCATTGTGATTGGAGAACATATTTTGTGAGATTTCAGTGATTTTAAACTTGTTGAGGGTTAGGGGCCAGCCCCGTGGCCTAGTGGTTAAAGTTCAGTGTGCTCTGCTTTGGCAACCCAGGTTTGGCACCCGGGCATGGACCTACACCACTTGTTGGCAGCCGTACTGTAGTGACATCCCACATACAAAATAGAGGATTGTTTGGCATAGACGTTAGCTCAGAGCAAATCTTCCTCAAGCATGAGGAGGAAGATTGGTACAGATGTTAGCTCAGGGTGAATCTTCCTCAGCCAAAAAAAAAAAAGGAAAGAAAATTCGTTGAGGCTTGTTTTGTGGCCTGGCATCTCTCCTGTCCTAGAGCATATTCTATGTGTACTTGTGAAGAATGCGTATTTTGCCCTTTTTGGGTCGAGTGTTCTCTGGATGTCTGTTCAGGCTAGTTGGTTTGTAGTGTTGTTCAAATCTTCTCTTTCCTTGTTGATCTTCTGCCTCCTGGGTAATCCAGTGTTGAAAGTACTTCTGGGAGATCTTGACTCAACCTCAGATCCCCTGACTTACGCCAGGTGAGAGGGTGTGATTGGGATAGATCACAGCCTGTCTCAGGTTTCAGTGATCCCGTTTGTCAGAAGGATGTGGTCTGTTGCATGGCTTGGGTTTTTGTAAGTTCATGGTCACGGAGCCCCTGCCCTGTGGTCCTGTGCTCCTGTTTCAGCTCCGAGCCCTTAGCGAGCCTCAGCCCCGGCCGCAGGACACAGGCCTGCCGCAGGCAGAGGCTCCACAAGGGAAAGGAGACGTGCCTGGCGACAGCGAGCCCCGGACCCCGGCCCCCAGTTCTGAGGCAGCTGTGGATTCGAAGAGACAAGGTGACAAAGGTAAGTGTAGCTTGGTAATTACGTTTAAGCCCCCTTTGGAGCCCCATTCAAATAAAAAACATAGCAGCAGTGCATGCCGTCCACTCTGCACTAGTCCTCCCAGGGCACAATGCTGCTGGGGACGGGCGCGGCGGGGGCCCGCAGGGGGCAGTGAGTGTCCCCGGGCACCTGGAGTCGGGGCTGCAGGGCTCGTTCTCCATCTTCCTGATGTTTCGTCCTTTGAACTGATTGCCTTGTCCTTTGGGAGCCGTGTGAAAAATGTGCAGGCCACAGCTTTATTCGGGACACGGGTGGGACTGTGGCTTTGAGGGGAGGGGGCTGAGTCCTAGCTGTCGTTGGCTCCCAAGGACTTGTCTCAAACAGATGGGACGGTCAGGTCACCTCAGCACCCTCTTCCTCTTGTAGGTGGTTGCTGTAATTGAGGTAACTTAGTCCAGGCTGTTTGTCTAACCACTTTCCTCTTGCGGTTCTGAAGAGGAGCTGCGGGCGTAGAGAGGCCTAGAGTCTTCTGCTTAGGTCACAAAATATATTACCCAACCGCCTCACCCACCACAGCCCACCCCATCCACCCTCCTTGGAAGGCTCTGGAATGGAGTGGTACTAGGTTTTTTGTTTTAATTAAATTAAATGCTAGTGAGGTCACAGCTAACTGTTCTGTGCACAGAGGAAACCAATGAGGTTCAGGTTGTGAGTGAGGAGGCACTTCAGAGGGACAGCCCGGGGCTGCCACACGAGCCAGGCCAGGAGCAGGCTGTGGAAGAAGACAAACGTGCGGGTGGAAAAGGCGTTGGAGAAGTTGGCCGGACCCCACAGGTGCCAGCCACCCTGTTGGAGAGCCAGGAAAATCAGGAGATGGAGGGCCCTGCGCGGGACCAGCTCGTCATCCCTGATGGGCAGGAGGAGCAGCAGGATGCTGACAAGGAAGGTGAGTGAGAGGCTCCGGGGCTGCCAGCCGACCCCTTTCCACCAAGCGCTTGGCCCTCTCAGTCTCCTTCCGGGTGGGTAACCGTGAGGTTCACCAAACGGCAGTTCCCCATTTGGGGCTCACTTTGTTTGTCTGGCGTCCATTGTTGAGTCGGAGGCAGGTGGGAGAGCAGTGCACTCCCCACACTTGGCGCTTTCAGAAATAATATTCACGACTAGGCAAGGGGACTTTTCAGGTGGAGGACCTTGAGATGGGTGCTTGGCATCAAGTGAACTAGGCCTCGTGGCAGGCAGCCCACATGCCTGCGGCTGTCTGCATGTCCTGCGGCGTCACCGGTCAGCGCCTGGCACATGGAGGGAGGGGGGGCGATGATTGGATCAATGGGATTTGGGGCATATTTGAGCAGTGCGGAAAAGTGACACATGAATCCCTTTCTGGTTTGGTTGAGCTTTTTTTTTTAATGGAAAATGTGGGAAACTGAGATCAACAGGATATTCTGGGATGTATTTTGGTCCCTTAAAAACGTGAAAAATTTCAAACCCAGCTGACACAGGAGCCGCTTAAATATAGATCTTTCTCAGCTTATGATGGGGTTGCATCCTGCTAAATCCGTGTAAGTTGAAAATATCGTAAGTCAAAAATGCGTTTAGTACACCTGACCTACTGAACATTATAACTTAGCCCAGCCTACCTTCAGTGTGCTCACACTTACCTCAGCCTGGAGTTGGCAAAACCATCTGACACAGAGCCTGCTGTATAAGAAAGCATAGAATACCTCATGTAATTTATTGACTACTGTGCTGACAGTGGAAAACAGAACGGCTCTAAGTGTCTCGGTGGCTCCCCCTCGTGATGGCGCGGCTGCCTGGGAGCTGCGGCTCACCGTCGCTGTCCAGCGGCACGAGAGCATATCCTCCTGCTCATCGCCAGCCAGGAAAAGGCCACAATTCAAAGTATGGTTTCTGCTGAATGCGTATCGCTTTCGCGCCATCGTAAAATCGAAAAATCCTGAGTTGAACCATTGTCACGTAGGGGACTGTCGGTAGAAGACACCTGTGCTCTGGGACTGAGCAAGTAACAGAATTTGGGGAATGTGCTTATTTGCAGAAGTTATCCTGATTCCACTTAAATCTAATTTTCTCTCAAGTTTCTTTTTCTGAAGAATGTGTTCTCACGAGTTCTCAGTTAAAGAAAGGAAACTCTAGTGGCGGATCAGCGGCACTCAGGTTTCAGAGCACCTGCAGGCCTGTGGGAGACCCCTTGCTCTGGGGCAGTTGTACTGCTCTCGCTGTAGAGTAAAGCCGCAGCTCCCAGGCCTGCGCTTCCTTTCCACGGCAGGCAGTGGGTGCAGGGAGTCTAACTAGAGCGAACTTGCCCGGGCATGCTTTTTTAAAAAAGATGCTGTTTACCTACATGTATACACATATAAAATGCTTACGTTAGACCGTCTGCATATATCTCTGGAATGCATTTTGTCCCAATCTTCTTTCCTGGTCGCTGTTCTCTCCAGGGATGAACATAATGAAGAATGAACCTAATTCTGTATGTGTGATGGAAAATTTTATCCTTTGGCTCACAATAGCCACTCCATTTTCTTCTTCTGGAGCGATGAGCCATTCTGAGGAGATGCTGTCATTAACTAGAAATCTGTTGTTTCTGAAAAAGAGTGGTGCCTTTCTTTAACTTTGAGTTGATTGTCTCTTTAAAAAACCAGGATTTGGGTTTAGTTAGCTGGTTAGTTGCCCCGTTTCCAGCCTGCAGTATATCCCTTTGTTTTAGGGTTATGTTTTGTATAGTAGGTCAGAGTTGAAGTGGGGCATGCGTAAGTAGAGAACTCCTACAGGGCATTTGTACCGGAAGCAAGCACATGAGCCCCTGTCATTCCTGAGAGGGGGCATGAAGAGCTCTCAGTACCTGAGCTCTGGTGTTCCTATGGCATCAAGAGAGAAGTGATGTAGCTTGTGTTTTATGTGTCTGTGCCAATTTTATAGGGAGAAACCAGCAGAAACCGGGAGGAGATGATGACTACAACATAGATGAAAATGAAGCAGAATCTGAAAGAGACAAGCAGGCAGCCCTTGCCGGCAATGACAAAAGCGTAAATGGTGAGAACTGGGGTGGGGTGGGTCACTTTCATGTCTGCTTGGTGGCCCTTCACCTGTGGACTGACTGTGCTACGACTCCCACGGCAGTGCTGTACGTAATCGCTATTCCAGGGGACTCGTTTTCTTCAGAAGCCTTTGAGTGTAGGGGCAGGGGAGGCAGCGGAGGGTTGAGGAGCCCCAGCTGCAGACCTTTAGGGAGGGCCGCGTGTGCGGTGGGCTCAGGCCCTCAGGAGTCGGTGGGGGTTTGTCTTCACTGACATGTAGGGACTTGATCACTCTACAGCGCCCAGCAGAAAGCCCTCGCGTGCGCGCACAGCTTCCAGACAGCTTTTTGGAGTAGCGCTCCATATTATTACTGTTTCGATTCCTGAAGAGTGGGGTGGATCGGGTTCTGGACTCGTCTGCTTCCTTGTGACTGCATGCAGGCGGTGTTCCTCTCGCTTCATACCAGGAGCCTCGTAATGGCGGGTACTGCCTTGGTTAAGGCGATGCCCACCAGCTGCCTCCATGGCAGAGGCCCATTTTCGCTTGGGAGCCGATAGTCATCTAGAGGGGAAGCTTGGAAAAAACCCTGGTCTGCGCGGTGACTGTCCGCGTCCTGTCCCCCCTCACTTTTACAGCTGCCGTTCTTTAAGGACCACTCCCTGTGTGCACGCACACTTGTTTTAGCATCACTATGGACTCCTGGTTTCCTTTTTTAAAATTGGTTTTTCTGTCAGGTTCTTGGTGTTTTCTTTGTCAGTTTTCAGTAGCTCTTTGCACACTAGAGAGATCGCCCTTTATCTGTGATGTAAGTTGCAAATACTTTCTCCCAGTTTGTGTTGGTTTTGCTTATGGTGTTTTTGCCATGCTAAAGTTTCAAAAATTTTTGTCTTTTTTTCTTTTCTTGCCCCTGGATATTAAGTCGTAGTTAGAAAGCTTTCCCATCTAGAGTTGGAAGGAATTCGCCTGTTTTTGTTCAGTATGCTTTCAGAATTTTCTGTTTTATGTTATGAAGGAAAACAGATTCAGAACACCACACAAAACATGAACTTTGAGAATGTGAGCACCCCCTGCCCCCGTCAGGAGATAGAGCTCGGCTGGCCCTCCGGAGGCCCCTCTGCTGTCCCGGTCACAGCGCCGTCCCTCCTGTGGTAGAAACGCCTGTCCTGACCTTTCTGCCAGGCATGTTCTTGCCTTTATTTATGGATTTACCAACCACGTGGGCATCCCTGGACACCTTGTTCAGACTTCGCCAGTTTCGTAAATTTGAGCTGTCTTTAAGTCTCTCTTAATCTACAGGTCCCCCCTCCATTCCTTTCTTTTCTTTACAGTCTGTTACGGAGCCAAACCATCTGCCCTGGAGTTTTCCACAGTGCGGGTGGTGCGGATTGTATATTCATGGTGTGGTTTAGCATGTTCTGCTTTCCTTCCTCTTTTCTGCAAATCAGCAGCTGATATTTGGGCTCAGGCCCTTGGAGGATGATGCATAGTGGCGTGTTCTTTCATCAGGACACACGTAATGTGTGTGTCCTTCTTTTTGTGAGGTAAGCAGCAGTTGACGGTCAGTGCCTTTGTATATTAATTGATTGGTGGCATTCTAATTCAGCCATTGCTATTTCGTTTGTTAGTTGGAATATTTTCTAAATAGTCAGTGGTATTGTTCATATAGTATAGGCAGGATAAATGCTTGATTCTTTATTTACCATTTTCACAATCAGGAATTATTTCCCTCTCATCCTCTGAAGGTGACATTTTTAAAATATAATTATAAACTTAAGGATTTAAACCTATTTGATGGATCTCACTCAGTTGCATTTATTCTCCTTTTTGAAGTTCACATGGTCCCGTCTTTTGGCCGTCTTCAGGTTCCTTGGTCTGTTGTCGCCCTCCTGCTCAGCCGCTGCTTTACTCCACACCTGGCGCTTTTTCTCTGTGAGGGGCTCCACCTGGGGAGGGGCCCTGGCAGAGCGGTTTCAGAAGCTCATGGGCCTCAGCCTCCACCCGCCCCTTATTAGCGTGGACTGTGTGGTCACCTGCTCTGGAAGTAGCAGGAGCTCCCCCACTTCCAGCTGTTCACGCATTGGCCCGGGTCCTTTCTGCTGTAAATCTGTTGGCTGTTTGGGGTTCTCTTGCGCTAGGTCTATCAGATGCTCCATTGTTCTCTCTGTTTTCTCTCTAGACGCTGCTATCACATGGGTGGATGTCCATGGTTTGTCTTTAACTGCTGATGTTTTGGGGTCTGCAAGAGTCCTTGTCGTCTAGTTTTGTTGTAAATGTCATCCATGGTTTTTGAGTTTTTTAGTTAGCTAAACTTTAATCGCTTTGTGTAGGGACTCAGAGATTCAAGAACGATGCCACTGTTGCCACCGTCTTTCCAGAATCCTCTTCTGCTTTCATATTTACGTTTAGATCTCTTGATTCATTTGATTCGTTTCAAATGTGTTCAGGTATATGGCACAAGGAGTGGCTCCAATTTTCTTTTTCCAAAGGGCTGCCCATTTGGCCCAACACCATCTCAAATTGCCATGTCAAAGCCAGTGATTTGAGTTGCTACCTTCATCAAATGCTAAATTTCCTGTGTACTTGGGTCTAATTTTTGGACTTTCTCTTTCTATGCCATTGATTTCTCTAATGATTCACACTGTTCCAAGTCTAACAGCTTTTAAAAATACCTGGCCGGTCTAGTCTCTCTGGAAGATCTCAGCCGACGTCTCTTTGAATAACGCTTCCTCCCCTTTTGAATCCTTCCTGAACTCCAATGAGAAGTGTGTTGGGTCTTCTCATTCTATTCCTGTCGCTTATCCTCTTTTTCATGTTTTCAGTTTCTGCCTTTCTAGTCTGTATTCAGAATAATTTCCTCAGAAATATCTTCTGGTTCAACAATTTTTCCCTCAGCTATGTCTTATCTATTCTTTAATTCATGCTTTGTTTTTAATTTTAATTATTTTTCATTTCTGAACTTTATTTGGCCACTCTGTGTGGGCCCTTATTCCTTGCTCACGTTTGCAAACACCTTTTATTTCTCTAACTGTATATCACACAGAGTTGTTTATGTTCCCTGTCTTCTAGTTGCAGTATCTGAAAACTTTGTGTTTCTCTTTTCTCTGCACATTCCCTCTCACGATCCCTTGTTTCTTTGTGTGTTTGGTGCTTTTTAACTGTGAGCTCCTGGGTTCCCTGGAACCTCATCTGTGGGGCGTCTTTGAGGACCGAGTTACAGTTGTTTTCCACTGGAGAACGCAGTTGGCCTCTGCCAGTCTTGAGGAGGGCACTGCAAACTCACAACCTCTTTAATAAAGTTAAGTTCTTTTCAGGTTTTTTTGGATCACATAGGAAATGTAAGTTCAAATTATATCTCCACACAGTCATCTCACGTGGTTAAGAATCCCGCCAGTCCACACCTGGGGCTTTCTTGCCGTCCCACTTTCTTTCCAGGTTCATTTCCCATTACCTTTAAGCCAAGGATGGGAGTCTTCAGGGTTTCATCTTCATGTAGGATCCCCTTTCTTGACTTCCCGTCTTGAGTGGAGCCCTAGTCTTGAGTTTTTGGCCTCCAGCACCTTTTGAACCTGTGAAGGGAGAAGCCCAGTGTCTTCAGGCTTCCACAGAATCCTTAGGGCAAGAGGTGGCTTTGATGCTTGTCCCCTTCAGGAGTGGTAACTTTCACTTCATTTTTGGCCTGGCAGATTCTTTCTTTTACTGCCATTATAGGCAATGCTTTTTAATGTTTTCTTTACTTTTTAAAAAAAATTTTAAGTTTTCATTTTGAAATAGCTTAGATTTTTAAAAAATAGCAAGAATTTCCGTATACGCTTCACCCAGGTTCCCTGATGTTAATGTCTCATGTAACCATAGAGCAGTTATCAAAATGAATAAAGTGATATTGACACCTGCTATTATCTATAGACATGTTTTAAATTTAGTGAATTGTCCAGCCAGTATCCCTCTCTGGTCCCAGACCTCACCCAGGATCACACGCTGCGTTTACCATCATACTCTTTAGTGTCCTTTAACTCGGAGCCATCTGGCTTTATCATTTATGACAGTGATGGTTTTTGAAGTGCTGTGGCCAGCTATTTGGGAGAAAGGCCCTCAGTTTGGGTTTGTTTGATTCAACAATGTGTTCTTAAAAAATACCTTTCAATTTTATCCAACATGTCAGTTATTACAATTGGCGGAGTTGTTTGGGGTTTCCAGAAGTCTTAACTTGATTTTTAAATTATTTTCATGGGCTGTTTAGGTAATTTTTGTAATGCAAAAGGTGAACACATTAGCAGTCAGAATTTTAAGCATATACAAGGTCTCTGGATCTTTCTGTTCTTTATCATTGACTCCACTCGTTTGTGTCCCTCAGTTCCTGAATAGCATGTTTTCTGGTGTGGTTTCTCTCATCTCTTTTGACACATCCTTTTAAATGAGCCTTTTGTTGGTGCCATCGAGTTGATTCTGACTCCTAGCCACCCTGAGTACAGCAAAGTAGAACTCTGCCCGGTCTTTCCGCGCCATCCTCTTAGCTTCTGGAGCTCTATCAGACAGTGCTCTGCTGCTCTTCAGAGGGTTTTCACGGCCAGTTATTTGGAAATGGGTGGCCGGGTCCTTCTTCCTGGCCTGTCCTAGTCCGGAAGCTCCCCTGAAGCCTGTGCACCATGAGCGGCCCTGCTGGCATCTGAGATACCACTGGCACCGTTTTCATCACGGCAGCAACACGCAGCCACTACACTAAGACCGACAGACGGGTGTTGTGGTTCCCTGCCCGGGAACGAACCTAGTGTCCCACAGGATGTTCGGCTTTACAGTCACGCTTTGGGATCTTGTATCCCCCACTCCCAGGTGTCCCTCTCAGGATTTGGCCTTGTGCAAGGTTTTAAACAGAGTGAGGGGGTAGGCAAAGTAAAGAAGATAAATGCTCTGCAAGCTCTTTTAAGAAAGAGTTTTAAGTTGAAGTCGTCTCATCAACATCATTTTTAAGATTATGTCATTGAACCGCTTTAAGACCCTGTTTGCTCCAGCGACGGTAGGAGAAAAAGGCATTAGCTCCAATTTTATTAGAGAACTTTAAAAGACACTATTCATTTAAGGCGGTCATTTAATTAATTAAAAAATCATTAACCATTTAATGTGCAGTCGTTGTAAATTAGGACATTGGTTTTAGGTTTTATTTGTGCTGTGTCTTTTTACGTCGTTTGTGTGTCAAAGGATAGAGTAAGGATGGTGGAAGCCACAGAAAGACCTCAGCTCTGTCAAGGAAGAGCTTTGGAGTCACGAGCTGACCAACGCCGTACGTGGCACTTAAGACAGCGGGCCTCCTGCTGGAGGTGCACTGACAGAGGGAGCCACGCGGCACACCAGGGGCTGGTCATGTCAAAAATTTGATGAGAGTACATTTTATCGTGTCCATTCTATAGGATATGGGGCATTGTTTCCTTCTTTTAAACAATGAGTTCTTAGCTGTTTTGGCTTTGTTTCCTGGCACCTTGCTGGCTGTGCTGTGGGCTCTTTACTGCCTTGTCCTTGATTAGGAATGCAAATCCACCTTAGGTTGTTGCTCTGGGAGATACTGTCCTCTGTGTGACACAGTTTGTAGACACTTAGGTCAAATGGGACCTGCTTGGGCTGGTTTCTCAAAATGTTTAATATTAGAATATTGTGTTTTTTCTTTCCTTTTTAGTTCTTAATGCAGCAAATCAGAAAAGAGACACAATAAATTTACTTGATCAGCGTGAAAAGAGGAATCACACTCTCTGAATCAAACTGGAATCCCGTGCTGTGTGTCAGGATTGAACAGAGAACGCTACGAAATATTCATGAGGGATTGGATACTGTGAAATGCGCTAAGTCAAACATACATCTAAAGATGATTATTGTGGAGTTTTAGTACCTACTTTATGTAGGAAAATGAGATGGTCTTTAGACAGTTTTGGGGGGTACTTTTGAAGTGTGTATATTAAAATGTCAAAATTTGTCAGCTAATAGGTATTTCGTGAGTTCAACACCAAAAGTAGAACCCAAGTTCTTCAAGTATGGCGACGGTGGCAGCTTCTTCTGGAATATAACTTTGTTTAAAAAATAAAAGCCTGCAGGAAGAGTCCATCTTCAGACGTGAAGGAGAGACCTGCGCGCTGGGGAACTCCTTTTTCTCGGTTCCCTCTGGAGTCACTCTCTTCTCCGCATGCTGTGCCGAGTGACCGGTGCCAGCACGTTCTCTCTGTCCTCCCTGGTCAGCACTGAACCATTGTTGGTTTATGCTCTCATACATGCACTTCTGGTTCTGACAATCAATGTCCTAGAGCACCGACTGTTAACCCAAACATCACTAGCCGCAGTTTTAAATGAGTCTAAATACAAAGGTGTTTTGTGTGAGAGTTTTTAGAAAGACTACTTGCATAATACCCTTGTCATTAATGTACAAAATGCTTTCAAGTGACTTGTAATTTGAAAACTTGTGGCCTATACTTTGCTTAATATGTGTGAGCAAAGCAAATCTTGTGTAATATACCATATTACCAAGAAGAGCCACAAGGGGCTTAGACCGACCCAGCAGGGGCTGAAGCAGAGCGGTGCGGCCACAGGCACTGTGGGCGACGCGGGCTCGCTGTGGACAGGCTGCCTGCTTCACCACTAGAGTAAGAGCAGAGGCATGCAAGATTAAGGATCCGTGCAGTGTTATGAATTGGGAACGTTTAGAAAGGCAAGACAAAGGACTAGTCCTTTTGTCCTAGTCTACACATTTAGCTTGTGGTAACTATTACAAAACTGATGTAAAAATCAAGTTAGTTGGAAAATGACTAATCATAATTTACACTGACAATAGTGACATTAGGTTTGACTTGCATTGGTTCTTAATATTTAGGGTAGTCAGGCCGTTGCCACTTGTGAATAACTGAAAGTCACAGGAATGACTTTCAGCGAGGCTCCCTAAAGGGTACATGGGTGGTGATGCTTATTAAAGTGCATTTCGAGTCACAGGATGTGAGCTGCAGGGAACTCAGGTCATTTGGTGTAACCCCTTTGTTTTCAGCGAGGAAACAGGGCCCAGAGAAATTGTGGCGCTTATCAGGCCAGAGAGCTGGTGAGCTGGAATCCTGGCCTCACCCCCAGTGTGGACTCGCTGTGCCCCAGTAATCACCCAGTCGGGACCTGGTTTGCGTCCAGGTCAAGATCACCAACTTGAATGGTCTTCGTGTATGCTATCCTTTTACCTAATCACTGAGATTCAACTCTTCACCCAGAAAAGGCAACTGAAGGGGTATAAAAGTAGCTTTGCAGGATTTTATCTAAGTCCATGTCCAAGCTCCCTTTGTGTCTTAGTCTTAGTGTTGATATTCTCTTGCTTTTTCAAATAATTAATAAAACTTTTATTCATCTCAGTTTAATCTGTGTGCACAGAGTTGCTGAGAAATAAAATATTCTTTATTAGTTAAACTTTTAAAACTGCTTTCAATTTTCCCTTCATCCCTTATTGGATCTCTAGAGAATTAGCTTTAAATTGGGGATTAAGGATGGTAGTTTGCCGTAAATCTTTTGTGGAGTGAGATGAGATGTCAATACGAATAAAAAATAACGATGATGGTTTCGTCTTCACATACACAGGCACCCAAAGGCCATTCATTCAGGGGTGTGTACTGTGAGCTGTTTCTCCAGGCAATCCTGCTTTATTTACCGCTGGCTTCCCTTGGGATCACAGGCACCTATTCCAACGCAACAATTTAGAGGTGTCATGGCTGTTTAAAAAAACCCAAAAACCTGTGTAATAAGCATCAGGTAGATATCAAAACCAACCTTGGTCTTTTGGTTTCATCCAAAATTAAATTTAGCAGCTATCCAATTTTTAACAGGTGTAAACTCTTTAATTCACACCTTCCTCTGTACTCTCACATGGCGTGTAGACAGGAGTGGATTCGTTTGGTCTTTGTCTCCTACAGATAGGACTGCAGATGGAGATTCCCTAAGCAACACTGGATTAGATTCCACGAGTAATCCAGTCACTGCACATACTTAATGTACTTCTGTGTGCTGGATTTGAGAAATCGTTACCTGTGAAGTCACTGTGCTGTCATTAAATAACTAGATTGGTCACTAGCATGACTCTTGTTTTAATTGGTAATAGCTGGTAATAGCTGGTTACCATTCCCAGTCGAGTGCTTGAAGAGAATGGTGAAATCAGGGTCATTTAAGGTCCAGGGGGGGCAGTCTGCTCCCACTGTGTATTTTAGCCTGAAAGACTATTCATTATAAATAATGGTAGTTTATAGGACAGTCAACTTCTAACACTTGTCTTTGAGATGAATTTTAGAATAAATATGTAAATTTAAAATAAACGTTCTATTAACTGTGGGTTATATTAACAATTTTTGTTCACGTGGTTAGCTTAAGACTTTGAAAATGTTCATTAGTGTCAGAAAGTTGGGCAAATAAGCTTATGATAATTGTGTATTTCAATATTTGTATGTTTGTGTGCTATTTCTCAGCTCGGAGGCAACACTTTCTTCAAGCGTAGTAAGCCACTGTCTCTTAAAAATTGGTTTGTAAAGTTCCGGTAATGTACGCACCGAAGGAGTACTCTAAGTAGATATGTTCCTCTGCACCTGAACCCCAAACTAAATGCTTCTGTCCTTGTTGGTGTGCCAGGGAAACACATCTCTGGGAAAGGTAAATGACTTGAAATATTGTCATCTTTAAACGACATATAAACTTCAGATAATGAGCTTTTTTATAAACCAAGGCCCTAGCCGGTTCTACAGTAGAATAACTGTCCTGATTTGAGTGACAGACCATACCTTGCTTACACACTTTGTACGCCTGCAAAGATTCTAATACTGCGATGGGTGCTTGGTAAATATTTGACGGTTAAGTCCAAATGAATGATTCAGATGGATCAGAGAGGTGGTCCCAGACACTCTGATTTCCCGTATAACTGAAGTTTTGCCTTTGAGAACCTTTATAGAGATTTAGATGACCAAATGCCTTTTTAGAATGAATGTTAATGACATGAAAATTCGGATGAAAACCAACTTAGCCTTAGAGGCAAGCCAGTGTCTTTGTGGAAGAGTTCCTGATGTTAGCTTGCTTTTTATTAATTTCTTTCAAACCTGTAGTAAAAGCTCAGTAATGGAACCCCCAGGCTGATATATCATGTCTGCCTTTATTCGGAACTTAAATGTTCACCTAAATGTTTTACCTCACTGTCCAAAAAAGCTGCTGCGTTATCAACATTTTAACATCTGAGTATCATTTAAAAGAGAAGTTCTGTGACCTTAACCAGCAGTCTGCAACTGCCAGACGTTTCCTATAAAGGATAATCTTGGTATAACAATCTCCTTGCTCTGGTTTTTAGAGATGGGCTCATTCAGAAGTTATTCTAGAAGTCAACAGATGACCTGTGATCACAACAAAGCACCACTTTCCTTTAAGCTTGGCTAAGTTTGAATCTGAACACAAGGTGGCAGGTGCTGCATTTTTACCTTTGCAGTAATGTAGAAATTCAGAGTTGTTGCGTAGAAAAGATCCTCCGAAAGCTGACATTCTTCTAAAATGGAAAGCAGTGTTAGCAGAGGCCCACAGTGTGAATGAATGCACAGGTGGACAGCTGCAATCTGACAGGTCCTTTCAACACTTCACAAGCAAATTTTTAAAACACCTTTGGCAGCTGTGGGATGATGAAAATATTTAGTCATCCAAAGTTTATTATTATTTCTTACTGCAAAAGCAACCAGCTCTGGTTCCCTACGATCTTTGGATTTGGAGGTACTTGATATGCCAACTTGTGCTTAAGTTGATGGGCAAATAAACAGAAATCAACCAGTTTTACCAGGTGAAGGAAACCGTTTAGGGGAAGGGCCACCAGACCCCAACTTGCCACCTCCGAATGCCTCTGCACTGCGAGCTGGCCTGTGTTCTCTCCCAGCCAAGGCAGCCTTCCTGCCGGCCCTTGTGGTCTTCTACCTTTTCTATTCAGTGTTCCCTAGGGTAGCTCGTTGCCATCAGGATGTCTTCTACATCTTAAAAAATCCGCGTCCCATTGAGCAGGTCCCGGAAAGGTGAAGTCCCTTTTCGCAGGTTTATAATCCAGTTGGGAGGATAGAAACACTATTTAAATTACAACTAAAAGGGGCCTGGCCCGAGATGTGACGTTTCAGCTGAAGGATGAGGAGAAATTGGCCAGAAGAGGCTTAGCAGTCAGGGGAGGGAACGCAGGTACAGCTTGAGAAGCCCAGGGGAGACGGTGGAAATGAAGTGGGCCAAATCGGGCATTCCTGGGTGAGGACTGTGTCACTGACCAGAGAACAGTGGATCTTTCTTTATGATCACGCCAGCTCCTCCAAGAACAGAGTGGGGCAAATATGAATGTGGGGAAGTCACTTCTTCACACCCAAGCTGTCTCCATTACTTCACCCCACTCCCTACACCTCAACTTACTTTTCCACTCCTGCCTCATCTCCTCCAGAAAGGGCCTTCACCATTGTTAGCAGCAATCTTTATTTGCCCAATCTAATCTAATGGGCCCGTCTTGGTCCTTATTTTACTGGCCTTTTAGCTGGATGTGCCCTGCATTCTGTTTATTTTCCTGCTAAGTCTCCTTTGCAGGCTTTTCCAGTGCCCAGAGGTAGCCAGAAAGGAACTCTCGTCTCTGGTGTTCTTTGACCAACGATTAAAATAATGTCTTAGCTAGAGTAGTCAGTCTTGTGAAAGCAAAACAGTGAAACAGACAGAAACTTGCCCAAGGGTGGCATGGCATGATTTTTAAGTGCTCACTTCTCTTGGCCTGTCTCATCGCCTATCTGCTGCCTCCCCATTCTCTGGCCCACTCTTGGAACTTGGCTATCCTGTGTTCCTTGGGATCTCAGGCCATTCTTCTACATGATCCCTGAGCAATTGCAGCCCCCATACAAGGCTTTAATTTACTTCTCTGCAGCCACTCAGACCTCAGTTCATCTCCACCCATGAATGCACCTTTCAGCTCCAGACCACACTACTTGCCATCTTCACTAGGATGTCCCAAAGACATCTCAACGTCTAAAGCAACCTTTATCCCTAAACCTACGCTGTTTTGCTTATGTAAGCAAATGGCACCATATCCATCTAGCTGCCACAGCCATAAAACCAATGAATCATCACCCCTGATTCCCACAAACTCACCCATTTACCCAGTCTCGTACCTCTTACATCTTTTGATTCCATCCACTTTCCTCACTCCCTCTGCCACTACCTTAATTAAGAACACCATTTCCTCCCAACCAGATTCCCTGCCTCCAGTCTGGCACCCTTTGGAACCAGTCGTCTTGGGCAAGCAGATCTGATTTGTCATTTCCCTGCATTAAACCTCTTTCAGTATCCACCAGTATCAGACTACAGTCCAAATTCATTAACTGGCTTCCTAGGTTCTGGAGGACTGGCCTCCCCCCCCCTCAGTCTTGTCTCCAATCCCTTGTTCTGCTCTACACTTTCATCAGCCAGCCACCACCTCACCTCCAGGCCTGCGCACGTCCTGTTTCTCTGCCTAGGACCCCTTTACCCGCCAATACCTCTTCATTAGCCTTTGAAGTTCAGAGAGGCTGTCTCTGTGAATCTTTATGTGAGGTGATTCTCCTAGACCAGCATACTGTATTTTCCCGAGTGCATTATAACTACCTGCTTGCTTGTCAGCACTCTTCACAAGGTTGTACTCTGTGAGGAGGGAGGTCTTATTTCCCACGTCGTTTCTTATTACCTTGAATGACAAGAGTTCTCAAAAGTAGTAAAGTTTTAAAAAAGGGCAACTTTCTACTTTTCTGATTAGAAACCTACTGTTAAAAAAATACTAAAGCTACAGAAACGAAAATACAGGATTCTGTCATTAACATACACTAACAAATCTTTTGTTTTTCAGTGGATAATGGACTAACTTAGGGACACACTTTGCTCTCAAGAAGACCTAGTCCTAAAAAGTAGCCTAGATGCTCTATAATTAGGCAGAACGGCTGCTCAGCTGCTCTCACGTACACTAGCTGAGCAATCAGACGTGTGGGTTAAGAACGCCGGAGCACCCCCTTAACTGGCCGTGCGCCGTCGCCGAGCGGGGCCCTCGCTGCACTGATCCATGTTCCTCTTCCAACTTGACTTAGGCTCTCGGCTGTTGACCAAATCTTGCTGCTCCGTTATCCTCTCTGCTTTTTCTTTTGATTCTTTCTTTCTTCTATTGCCTATTTCCTACCATTTCTTTGCCTTTTTTGTTTAAAGCTTTCAGAAATTACCAGCCAGAAACAGTGCTGTTTTCCTTCTCAAATTAAATAGATAGCAAAAGGTATACTTTTATCTCTTCATACTTTAAGTTCCTATTGTACAGGCTACTTTTTTTTCTTTCAAGACTTGTGGGTTCTGAAATTTCAGGATGCGTAATGGCTGTTTCTGGATGACAGAAGTTACCACTCTTGGGAAAGAGAGGAGCCAGTCTACTTCGTTAGCTGAGAAGAGAGGGGTTGGGAAAGTTCCTACTCGACAGTTGGCTCTGCTACAGCAGGCAAGATTCTGTCAGGTTACCTGCTTTAAAATATTTCCAGAAATAAAGTTTCAATATCACTTTTGCAAAAGAGGTGTCAAATCAGAGGTAAGATATTTGAAGCTCAGGACCCTTTGTACCATAGACCAGATACAAAACTGCTGCTAGTCTTAGGGAAAAGTCAGTTTAAGCCAGTCTACGCCATTCTGCTAATGGTCTTGCCCCTACGGAAGACAAAAGGGAAGGCCCCAGAGGCTTGGACAGCTGCCACGGCAGCCAGAGACAGAAGAGCAGAGACAGGAAGAGGAATGAGCAGCAAAGGACAGGTGGGGCCTCTGGCACTGGGTCCTTGCAGGTACAGGTGGACTTAGGTCAATTTCCAAACCCAGAGGAGACTGGGAAGACCCCATCTGAAAACGTTTCATGGGTTAAACTGAATATGAAGTAGTAAACAAAAGGAGTCCGCCAAATTTAAACCTAGCCCTAAAATTAACAATCTACACATTCGTACCTTTTGAATGTCACTAGCAAACATGATGTGTAATCTTTTAAAAGTACCAAAAGTAACAGTTAAAGGATGTTTTTTAAAAACATCTACACTCATATAATTTAAGATATCACAACACATAAAATCACAATCCCCATGTAATTCAGTCTCCCTATGTAGTTTTAGAGGTCCCCCCAAAAATCTCTTTGAAATGTATTTTGCCAAACTACCATACAAGTGTTAAAGAAGGCTAATTCGTGTTTGAACTACTCAAATGTTAAGAGTAAACACCTTCAGTTCTTAACATGTATCAACAAAGTAATACTGTTTTTAATCTTTTTTGTCAAGAAAT